CTCCAGTCCTGACAGACAGGGTCTCCAGAATTGTGGTTTTTATCCTGTCTCCTCGCTCGGACGCCGTCGAGCTTTCATCACCACAGAGAAGTCCAGACCCCGGGTGGCCCCACGCCACCCTCTGGCATCACCCCCCATTATGAGCTCAGGCCCTGGAGCTGCATTCTGGGATCCAGCCCCGTTTCCAGCCCGAACATGCTGTGTGGCCCTTGGGCAGGTACTTGGCCTCCCTGTACCGGAGCGTCCTCTTTAAAAAGCCTCGTAGTGGAGGTTGGCCGTGAGCACAGGGGCGCTCAGAGCCGGCTGGCTCTGCACTTCCCACGTGTGCTGCCTTCACGGCGGCCCCTAGGCACCCCCCGTCACGCCCACCCTCCTGGTCTCCTCCCTCAGCCTGGCCGAGCCTGCCAAGGGCCGCTCCAATCCCAGTTCCTTACAAGAAATGCTGTTGGCGCCTTGGCCGTGTCCGAGCAGGGGGCTCATGCTGCCTGACAGGTAAGGGTGGCCCTTTCTGTCACAGCCACTCCTCCACGCTAGGAGGCAGCGCTGGTGGAAGACTTGAAGATGACACACAGAGCTGCTAAGACTGTCCAGAATGGGGGCCCCTCGGCCCCCCCGGAGCCTGCATTCCAGCTGCGGGGGAAGGTTGGACGGCCGGAAGATGGCGGTAAGTAGAAGGCACTGCCTGCCTCAGAGCCGCCCTCGCGTGCCCGCCTGGGCGGGGGGCTGCGTCTCCTCCGTGGCTGGAGGATGCTGCTGTGCAGGTGGCTGGGGGGGCCTGTGTGAGGAGACTGTGCCTTCAGGGTTGAGCTGGTCCCTGCCGCTTGGCCTTCGCTTCAGCAGCCGAGGCCCACCCGGAGCTGTCCCTTGGTGGAGAGGGCTCTGGTCAAGGCGACCTCCCAGGGGAAGTGCGTTGCCACGACTGGCCTCAGACGCCCCGAGGGCTTGAGCCTCTCCTCACACGCCCCCATATTTTCCTCCGGTCCTGTCTGCCACCATGTCAGGCCTACGCTGTCCGGGTGCCGCCCCCTCCGCCCACACAGCCATCCCCCCCGCCACGGCCTTCAGCCACCTGGGCTCTCGGACCCGGGGCTCAGCCCAGCACCCCAGACTCGCACGCTGCTGTCTGCCCCCTGCGCTCCAGCGCGCCAGGCCTCAGGCCTGGCTGTCTCAAGCCGAAACCGTGACCCCACCCCTACCCTCCCCACGGTCTTTCTGGTCTTAGGGAACCCTGCCCTTCTAGCTGAGCCAAACCAGCACCCTGGGCTCCTTTCCCCTCCCCACACAGACAAGACTGACTGCTCACTGCCGCCATCTCGCGCCCTGCTCCAGGCCCACTACTGCCTCCAAGCCCCTGAAGCCCACGGCTGGCTTTCTGCCCGTGTCTGCCCCCACCCCGGGCCTGCTCACCTCCAGACAGGGAAAGGTTTTATTTATTTATTTTGAGATACATTTTATTTATTCACCAGAGACAGAGTGGGGAGCAGAACAGGCAGATCCACTGAAACACACTGCTGAGGGGAGCTGCGGGGAGACAGAGGTGTCTGCTGTGCCCTGGGGATCCCTCCCTGGCCGGGGATCCAACTTGTGCTGCGGTCTCTGCCGATAGCTTCATAGTGCTGAGACTCACCCCTGTGCCACCAGGGAGGCCCCAGAACAATGTTCTAAAAACAGATTAGACTATATATTTATCAACTTAACACTCAGCAGTGTCTTCATCTGACTGAGTATGAAGTCCTGACCTGCAGGCCCTGTGAGACCCGCTTCCACCTCACAGGCCGCGGGCCTTCTGCCTCAGGCCCACAGCGCTCCCTCTGGCCCCTGCTCATGCTCTTGCCGTGGGTGTGTGCTGCGCTCTGCCCGCACAGGGGCAGGCATAGGTCCCAACCCCATCCAGGCTTCAGGGGTCTGTCGGGTGCTGCCAGGTCAGAGAGGCTCCCCGATCACCTTTCGGGGCCTCAGCACCCCTGACCTCTGACCCCAATTTCATGACCACTGACCATCCCGATGCAGCATTTACATGTTGACTTTTGTCCACCTCCTCACCAGTGACACCCCAGGAGGATGTCACCCCACACCATAGGTGCTCACGTGGGCAGGGCTGGCGCAGGTGGGAAGAAAGCACAGCCCTGGTCTCTGGGCCACACCCACCTGCTAGGCCCTCTGACACAAGGTCCCAGATAGTGGCTGCCCTCTCAGTAAAGCTCACCTGATGGCTCTTTAGGAAGTTGGGGGGCACCTCTGAAGTATTTGAGGCCTGGTCTGTGCTCAATAAAGTGGGGTCTGATAGGGCCGTGGGTGCTCAGCCAGGGAGCTCATGGAGCCGCCTCCTTCCACCCACCCGTTGAATGTGCCGGCCGCCACATAAGGAGCCACACGCTGTCTGAGTGTCGATGCCCCTCAGAGGATGGCCAGCTTGGAGCAGTTTCTGTAGTTGAGACCCTCAGTTTGGCCTCCAGCGTGGGAAGCAGAGGGCTTTCTGGGAGTGGGTAGGTCTGTCTGGACTTTACACACCATGGGTCCCACGGACCCTCTTTTGGCAAAGGACCCGTTTTTGTGAGCTGGGCACCACGGGCAGGAGCTGCCTGGGTGGGTGTCCGCCCCCACTCCCCCAGGGACTCTTGAAGAGCAGCTTCCATGTGCACCACCAGGGGGCGCCAGAGGCGGCCCCGCTGCGGTGAGGACTGCTGGCGGTCTTTCCTCCCTTCAGCGACACGGAAGGCCAGGCAGTCGCCTGCCAACCTCCTGCGCCAAGGGGCAAGACGAGGCTCAGCAAGGCTCTCTCCCAGTTGTCAGCTGGCAGGTGCTTTTGGCCAGAGCAGGGTCACGTTAGGGTCTGGGGAACAACCATCCAGGCTCCGTGTCTTTATTGAAAAGCGGCAGTGAACCCCTTGCCCTGAGTTCAGCTAGTTGTGCCCCCTCAGACTCCCAGGCTTGGGGGCGGGGGGCATGCGTCTTGGCCTCTTAGTTGGTCTGTCCAGTGCGACTGCCAGCAGCCATGTCTAACCCACCACATCATCCCCGGAGCCAGGGGCCACGTGCAGACATGGGGGTCACGTCCTGGCCTCAGAGACCACCCCCAGCGGCAGGAGCGCCGGAAGCCTGTGGGCTCAGTGGAAGGCTGGCAGATGTCAGCCTCCAGGTTCAGCCTCTCCCCTCCCGGGGACGGTCCGGCCGAAGGTTCTGCACACAGAGCCGAGCCGAGGGGCAGCACCGGGCAGCACCGGGCTCTGGCTTCTACCTGAGGCTCTCGGAGGCGGCGGTCTTCGGTGAGCCTCAAAGCGGATAGAGGTGCCAGAGGCTGTGGCAGGGCAGGTGGGAGAAACCAAAGCGGAAGTCAAGTCCCTTGATGTGATTTCACCAGCTGCGCCCTCACTCGCCGCCTGGCTGCAGGCTCTGGCACCCCCTTACAGTCCCCTGGGGCTGCACCCCTCCTCCCACCTCAGCTCAGAGAGACGCCAGTATTGAAGTGACCCTCTGCCTCGGCCTCCTCGAGCGGCCTGCGCCCACTTCTCCCTGAGGTCAGGCGGCCCCTCCCAGGCCAGCAGGTGCCCCTGACAGCCCTGCGGGCTCTGACCTGTGCTGGTAGCGGGGGTCTTCGAGGTGGGCCTGCAGCAGCTGGCGCACCTCCAGTGGGGGCTCCAAGCCCATCTTCTGTGCCCGATGCCAGCGCTGCAGCCGCGTGATTCCTGCCAGTGTGGGAGGAAGACACGGGGCTTCGTGGAGGGGCAGGCAGAGCCCAGGCTAGAGACTGAATGTGGCGGGGGTGTCTCGGACCTGCACGCCCCGGCCTCAGGAGACAGTGCCAGGCCGGAGGGGGCTTGGCTGGCTCCAGTCGGTGACAGGACAGGTGACCAGACAGGACCGGTGACGGGAAGGCCGCGGGGCCTCTCACCTGTGCAGGGGCCGTACTGCCTGGCCAGGTCGAACTGCCTCAGCAGCTCCAGCGCTGCCTCGTCCACATCCGCGCTCAGGGGCTGGGGCTCTTCCCCTGCAAATACAAGCTGCTCCTCAGGCCTGGCCGGCGGGGCCCCTCCTGCCTCACAGTTGACCGTGGCGACGCCAGGGCCCTCGGCCAGCCTGGCCAGGAAGCAGCCGCCTGGCCTCACCTCCCCTAGCGCGCCCACGTCCGCCCGTGCCCTGTCATGTCCCTCCGCGGCCGAGGCTGCGCACCCCCCGCCGAGACCTAGCTCTGGCACCAGCTCCCCCTTGCTGTGCCCAGTGGGGTCCTCCCGCCTCTTCACTACGGGGTAGGAGTCAGTGATGAGCCGCTTCCGGCCCATGGCGGCCACCCAGGCAGGCGGAGAAGGAGGCGACTGCGGGAGAGACGGGCCAGTGGGCACGGGAGACAGCTGCTGAGAGCGAGCGAGCGAGCGAGCGAGCGAGGCCTGGGGCCAGACAGCGAGCGGGGCCAGCGATGGGCAGCCGAGATGACCCAGACGCCGAGAGGAAGTGCGCGGCTTCCAGGACCGAGCCTCTCCCCACCCCCACCGGCTGGCTGGCCCTGAGGCCCAGCCAATGGCAGCCCGCTGCTCCGGGGCGGGGCCTGGCCCAGCCAATGGCGGGCGGCGCTGGCGAGGGGGCGGGGCCGCCGCTGCAGCTGTGTTCTGGGGGCGAGGGGGCGAGGCGGGGTGGGGACCTGTCGAGATGCCCCGGCGGCACCACCTCCGCTGCCCCTCATTGGTCTGCGGTGGGTCTCGGGGGACCGGAGAACCTTCGCCTCGGCCCTCTCACTTCCCGTTTTCCCTGCCTAGGCAAATGTTCTTTCAGCCTCGCTAATCCCCGTGGCCGGTTAGTGGCTCCCCAGAGTCCAGCTGGAGCCTTCCCCTGGCCCTTGGCCCGCAAGCCAGTGGGGGCAGGTCTGGAGGTCCGGAGCTGGTTGGGGCTGATCCACCCCCCTGCCCTGGGGGCTGCCCCCTCTCCCCAGGAAACCTGTCTGGAGGCCAAGTGGGTTCTGAATGCTGCGTTGTCACAGCCTGTGCCCGGAAACACTGCCCGCCCTTAGTCCAGGCCAGCATGGGGTCTCCCGGGGTCTCAGCCTGCGCGCCCACCCCGCTAGTCAGGAAGACTGCCCTGCCCTCCTGTCAGGAAGACTGCCCTGCCCTCCTCCAGGAGGCCGGTGCTTGGATTCCTGCTCCTCACCGTGGACTCCGCCTCTCCCCGGTCTGCGAGCCCGCTGGGAGCACGGGCAGTGAGGGGCGCTGCGAGGCCGGACTGCGTGGCCGATGCGTGCCCAGCCCCTCCTAAGCGCTCTCTGCAGAGGCACCTGACGGAGGTGGTGGTGAAGCAGTTCTTCTGGTGCTGCTCATCACTCACATTGTGGGGCCCCCTCTAAACAGTCCCCCCATGTCCCCCAAGAGTTCATGGGGCAGACGGAGACCACAAGTTGTCAGGGAGAGGATAAAAGCCTGACAAACAGGAGGGGGGAGGCGGGTTCAAGGTGGGCAGGACCACAGGACCGGCTCAGTCCTGGAAGACCTCCCGGAGGAGGCAGGCAGGCGCTTGTAAACAGTGTCTCTCACTTCTCCACCCATGACCTTTGTCCCTGGGCTCCGGTCATCGCTGACTCACCCCTGCTCCCCCCTCCCTCACCAACTTCCTGGCAGCAGGGGAAAGTACTGGCCAGTGAGAGTCTGGGAATCAGAGGCAGGAGTGGCCCAGCTAGCCTGGCCCTCCCCTGAAGCCAGCTCGTCCTCCTGCCAGGGTGCGAGGGCCTGCGGAGGCCTGTGCCTCTCCCACTGCTGGGGGGTCTGGGTGCCCTGCAGGGGGAGAAGGCCCTGGAGAGCCCACCACCACGGTTGGGGGGCGTGGGGACAGGGGTGAGAGGAGGCCTGCTGTGGTGGGGAGGGACGCAGGGAGGCTGTCCCCATCAGGACGGGAAGGGCCAGGTGGACCCAAACACTCTGGGTGGGATGGTGTCCAGGCTCTGTGGGCTGACCACCCCTCCCCACGGGTGTTGCGGAGGTGTGTGGCAACCAGGCTCACAAAGCCCGAGGGAGTAGGGAGCCGTGGGTGGGGCAGACCCCTCCTCATTCCTGGTACCTCCCACCCCTGAAAGCTGATAGCCGTGGGGCCCTGCCACCGCCCAGGGAGCGTGAAATGGGGTGTGCCGCCAGGCGGCCTCGGCGGCTCCCACTGCCACTGGGCCTAGGCCTTCCTTTCCTTGGCACCCTGGCTTGCTCTGCGGGCACTCTCTGGGCCATCCCCGCCACACACGCCAGCCCTGGCTGGCCCAAGCCCGACCAGTCTCTCCTGCCCCACCTGGGAAGTGTCTGTGGCCGTTAGCCTCCCCAGGACTGGAATTCTGGCCTGGAAGTGGGGACACACACCCCAGGCAGCCCTGACTTCCTCCGTGGCCTCAGGAGGCGGGAACCGCTCCTGTCTCCTGGGCACCCGGCCGGGCTTTGGTCTGCCTGTCCTTCAGTCTTTTCCCTTTTTGCCCCCCAACCTGTCTGGCTCCTCTCACTTTCCATCCTGGAAATTTGCTCCTGCTCAGGCGCCTCCTGGTCTGTCCCCACAAGTGCTGTCCCTGGGGCCGCCCGCCCCGGGCCAGAACTCTGAGTTGGGACTAAGTTCTCCTTGCTTCAGGCAGTTTCCTGAGACCCAGGTTCCCGTGTTGGCCTGGTCCTAAGAGGCTGGTGAGCGGACCGGCCGGAGTGACTTTTACACCTTGACCTGGTGATGCTCACAGCCCTTGCTTCGTGGCCAAGACCAGATTATTGTCTGAACCAAGAAAAAAGAACTAGAGCAGGAGCCCAGCACCTTCCTGAGAGCAGAGGCCCACCACCCACGGTTCCAGGGGGAAGGGGACTAGGCCTGGCTCAGCTCAGACAATGTGGCAGGATGGGGGGCCCCAGCTCTGCACACGCTCACGATGGGGCTGGGGGGAGAGCCAGCTAGCGCGGGAGGTGGGGGCAGGTAGACCGGGAAGCAGCTGCCTGGGCCCCAGCGGGCTGTGGGGCGTAGCCGTTCTCCTTCCCTCTCCCCCGCCCCCCCTTCCTCATCCCTCAGGCCCTACGACCCACCCTGAGCTAGAGATTCTGGGCAGCCAGACTACACCCCAGCCCCCACATCCTCACACACCCTGGGCCCCATTCTCACCCTGTGGGCCAAAATTCTTTCAGGCACCTCCTCCTAGTCCCTCAGACGCCCCCCAGACACCCCATCTCTCCCAACTGCAGGGTCTCATGCTCAGTGGGTTTCAGGGCAGGAGCCTGGTGGAAGGCGAAGCTCCCCTGGCCCCGGTCCCAGTTCACTGGATGTGGCCGGGGCCCTGCCCCACCCTCCTGCCCCACCTCTCTGTTCACCTTGACCGGCCAGGCTCCCGGAAGCCGGACGCCGCCATCCTGACTGTGGCCACCAGGGGTCAGACTTTGTCCGGCTGGGACGAGGCCCTGGTTCCTTTCTGCCGGCTGCCAGACCTGGAGATGGGGGCAAGTCCTTCCCGCCTGGCTGTGACCTCTGAACTAGCTGGGTGAGGCCCCCAAAAGCTGAAAGGAGGAGCATGCTCAGGCTCTGGTTCTAATGCCACATTACCCCCTCACTGCCCCCCACACCCACTGACAAGGGCTTTGTCCACTGCTGGGAAATTGGGGAACTGCGCTGAGTCAGTTGAAGGGACAAAGGCAGGGGCAGTGGTGGTGGCAGTGAAGAAGGGGGAGCCTCCCCCAGAATGTGCCCCCAGGCCTGGCACGCTGGTCCCTGCCCTCTAGATTAAGGGGGAAGGAGGCCCTGGGCCCGTCCCCGTCCAGGTGGTGCTGGGGAATGGTGTGTGAGATGGGTGACCGATGGCCCCCACGTGCCAAGGGGGCCCCTAAGATGTCCCTGTAGTCTTTGCAGAGAGGTGACAAGACCCAACTGGCCCGTGGCGCCCCCCCCAGAGCCTCCCCTGGGCTACTCCCAGGTGTCAGCGCCCCCTGTACACTCTCTCACAGGCTCCCAGGCCGAGCTGGGATCATTCTGACCCTCCTCTCCCGAGGGGGCTCCCCTCTTCTCCCCGAGGGGGCTCTCACCTTCCTGGCAACAGAAGGCACTAAAATGACGGCCCCAGGGCTCCGGGCCCGGGGGTTCCAGGCTCCGAGGTTGACCCCTGAGCCCCAAACTCAGGGCAGCCCCGGCCCTCCTTGGCCTCTACCCCGCAGGCCACAGTAGCAAGACCCAGAGGAGGGACCGCACCCCAGCTGTCCGCCCATGGGGCGCCCCTGGGCACACTTCAAGGACTCGCTCTAAAGTGCCCCTGGCCACTGCTCTCCTGTCTCCGCCTCCCCCCACCTGCTCCTCAGAATGTATTAGCGGGCTGTCTCCAGCCACCCTCTCCGGTCCCCCAGGCCCACTGCTGCCCCACCACGCCCTGCAGTCTGGTCCTCTGGAGCCTGTGGCACCCTGACTTGCGGTCATCCTGCCTTGCACCTTGGAAAGGGCCCCCTCTCCACTCTGCCCCTCCCCGGCTTGCAGGATGCCAGGACCGGGCGCCAGGTTACCTTGTTCCTTTGTCCAGAGAGCCTGGGCGGGGCTTTCTGGCCTCTGCACTGTTTGCTGATGTTGCAGCGGCTCCCAGCACCCTCTGGCTTCTCTGCTGGCCCGACTCAGTCCCAGTCCCAGCCTCCCCGGCCTCTCCGGTGCCACCCCTCAGCCAGCAGTGACACGTTTAAGTCTTCTCTATTTAAGCACAGTAGCAGCAAAGCAAACAAAACACCCCGCTGTGACACTGCTACCCCTCCAGAGGGTCCCTCGAGCTGCCACCTGTTGCAGGGCGTCCGTTGACCCCCCACTCTGCCGCTCTCGGCTTCCTGACCACCGAGGCCAGCAGGCGCTCCCTGGCTCCCTGCTTTTTCTCTCAGCTCTTCAGGGCGCTGCCCGCCTCTCCTCTGCGACCTCGGTGCACTGTCATCCTGGCTCTCTCTGAATCGGCTTCAAGGGGATCACGGAGTGCTGGCGTTCGGGCCCAGGGCCGAGGCTCTGGAAGGCAGCGGATGGACTCGGGCCTCGGTGCGGGGTGGCGCCCGCCGCCTCCTGCCCTGGTGGGTCCTCCTGCACTTGGTTGGGTTCTACCTGGGGTGGGGGCAGGGACTTGGGGGTGGGGGCGGGGATGCCAGCACTTTCCCCCATCATTTATTCAACATCTTTGCTCTTTGGGCTGGAGTTGGAGCTGGGGGCTGGGCAGAGACGGGCCTCGGTGCCTGTCGGGCAGCGGCTCGACCCCCAGGAGGTGGCCATGTGGCCTCTCCCCGTGTCAGGTGGGAGGCAGCCTGCGGGCGGCCGACCCCTCGACCCCTCGGGGTGGGGTGGGCTCAGCGCTGCCCCGCACCTCACTCGCGGCCTGCTCCCTCCTCTGTGCTCCAGCCTGAGCTGCGCTCTCCCCACGTCAGGAGTCAGGTGGGGCTGGGCACATGTTGGTGCCGCTGTGGGCAGGCCGTGGGGTCTCTAAATGTCTGTCAGCTGACGGACAGAACCCTCATCTGTCACGCCCTCGCTCCAGGCGCCGTCCGTCCCAGGAGCCCCACAGAAACTCCCTGCTGTGCCCTGCCAGCAGCTGGCCTGCTGCTTTACTGGTGCTCCTGGGGTCACCTCACCTACTGACCGGCCCAGCAGTCTGGGGACGCTGTCCCGCCACCCTCCCCGCAGTCTGAGAAGGGCACTGAATGGTCCCCACCTTGCAGCTGGGGCGCCTGGAGGGTGAGGCTGGGACCCTCCGGTCCCGGGTCTCCTGCTGATCGGCCCTCCCGGAGCATCTGTCCCGCCGGGTTGTCACGTTTCCCCCCGCCCTCACCCCTCACCCCGTCTGGGGTCTCAGAAAGAAAAAGGAGCCGCACATCACGTGGCCAGTGCCCTTCTCAGGCGATGAAGGAATTGAGAAGGGGGGTCCCTGTGGGGGGGCTGACTGGACCCCCAAGTTGACAGCTGCTTGCCTACATTGAGTGCACTTGGAGAGCAGCAGGGGGTGGGTCAGAGCTTTTTGGGGAGACCTGTATGCTGGGAGGCAATCTGGAGAGGCGAGGTGAGCAGTGACGGGGGAGCCAGGTGAGGACAGGGAGGTGTCCCGAGGGCGGGAGGCGGGGGGCCTGTCGTGGGCTTGGCTTTCCGGCAGAGCCAGCGAGGGACCCTCTTCCCCAAGCTTTTGCCTGCTGAGACCCCCGGAGCCCCCTGCTCTCCCCACAGCCCTGGGAGGGCAGGCGGAGGACAGGAGGGCGCTGGGGCCCAGCCAGCAAGGGCGCGGCGATCTGGGGCAAGCATTTTATTTGTTAATACAAGAATAGAAATTCTGCAATAAATATCATCTAATAAATAACATCTCCAAATAAATAAATATTAATACAACAAACTTAGAGTCATGAGTGGTGGGGCCGGGGAGCAGGGCCTGGGGGAACTGCCCCCACCCCCCGAAATGCTACTGCAATGTAAACTTTCAGGAAATTCTGTGGCTGCAGCCCCCCCCCCCCGGCCCCAGCAACCCACAGACACCTGGGACAGGGTGGCGAGGAGGCCCCGTGACGGCGGCAAGACACTGCGTGGCCAGAGCCCTTCGGGGCCACCGGCGGGTGCGCTGGCCTGGCCCTGCTTTACTGTGGCCTCTTCTGCTCTCCAAGCCCATGCAGATCCCGTCTCTCCCGCGGTGACCCCAGTGGGAGGCGCTTCCTGCTGGGACTCGCCACTGTGTTTGTTTCCTAAGCAGGACAGGTTATTTGGGGGGCAGGGGGTGATGCCCACCCAGGAGTAGGGCAGCCAGAGGTTCCACTCCAGCAAGGCACAGGTGCTGTGGTCCCATCGCCCACTGGCGGTCCCCAGGGCCGGGGTGGGCCGGGACCAGGGTGGAGACAGGAGGTTCCCTGGAGGCCACTTCCCGTGGAAGTGGCCGTGGCCTCCCCCAGACCGGCGGGGCGCGGGGCGCGGGGAGGGCGGCCCCACGGCATCAGGCCTCGTCCAAGCCCTCGGGAGGCCGCAGCTCTCTGGGTCCGTGTCCTGGCTCAACGGGGGTTGGCACTCGGCGCCCCCCTGGCGTGGGGGCGGGGCGGGTGGGGTCAGAAGCCTCGGGCCTCCAGCCGCAGGGTGACGGCGGCCGCCGCAGGCTGCATCTTCTTCTTGAGCCGGTTGAAGTCCTTGGCGGAGCGCCACAGCCAGGTCTGCAGCTCCTTCAGCAGCCAGAAGTCGTCCATCTTCTGGAGGAAGTCACTGTGGGCAGGGCCGGGGGCCCAGGCGGGCTCAGCCCCGGGCCCGGGCTGCGGCAGCGGGTAGCCCAGCGCCGCCATGACGCCCGCGATGCTGCCCAGCAGGCCCTGGAGGCTGGTGCAGAAGTGGGCCAGGCTGCGGCGCAGCTCGGCCGTGGCCGCCTGCCGGTTGAGGCCGCGCAGGTAGCACAGAAGGTGACTGTAGGCCTCGTAGTTCTGGGTCAGTCGCAGCTTGTCGTTGAGGCTTCGCCACACGTCCAAGTTGACCGTGGCCCTGGGCAGCGTCTCCGCCCCCAGCCGAGGCGGATTGAAGTCAGGCTCGTTGAAGGGGGGACCCAGGTAGTTCAGCTGTGAAAAGGAGAGGGTGAGGGGGAGGAGGGGGCGGCCGGCCGGCCCCCCGCGGCGCTGGCGCCCAGCGGCTGCTGCCCCGTTGCCCGCCGCTCTCGGCTTCTCTACGCCCGGCCCTGACACGGAGGACGCCATCTGTGTGCAGGCGCCGCTAGCGGGGCGCCGAGCTCCACGGAGAGGCGCGGAGAGGGGACCTCGGGAGGCGCCCACAGGGCACGGGTGTGCGAGTCTTGGGAGGGCGCCCGGGCGGGGCAGAGAGGAAGAGGAGCGGAGGAGCCAGGCGGCCAGGCTGCAGAGCGGAGCAGGCCGAGAGCGCAGAGCCAAGGAGAGGAGCCAAGGAGGCGCAGTGCTCACAGCGAGGCTGCAAAACAGAGAGGAACGGCCTCAGGCAGGACGCAGGCTCGGGCAGGAGGTGCCTGGCGGCCCCAGAAGGACCCGGCCTGGAAGCCAGACTGCAGGGGTTAAGGAGTGGGTGGCGGAGAGGAAGTGGAGGCAGAGGGTGTAGACCACTCCTTCGAGAACTTTGGCAGGAAAGCCAGGAGGAAGAGGGTCAGGAGCGAGAGGGGCAGCAGCCCATCCAGGCCTTCGAGAGGGGAGACGGAGCGAGCGGGGGGCAGGGAGGCCTGGGGGCCGCAGGTTCCACTCGCCTTTCACGGCCCGTCGCACCCCGACGCTGTGGTCACCGACTGCCCCAGGAGGGGTTCACAGTCGCAGGAAGAAACTGAGGCAGTCTCCTGAGCGGGGCTGGAGGAAGGGCCTGGAAGACAGTCTTGGGAAGAGGACAGAGCCTCGCCAACCCCCGGGGGAGAGGCCTGGGGCCCAGGGAGAGGCCGAGGGAGACCTCGCGGCCTGCAGAAACGGGGAGGAGGGCGAGGCCGGGATAGGCCAGGCCCAGGGGAGGTTCACACGCTGACAAGCGCAGAGACAAACTAATTTCCTCGGTGTATCCTGGGGCTGCAGCCAGCTCCCCCGCCACCCTCCTCCCCTTTCTTTCCCTGGCTCCAGAGCAGGGTCTGGGATGTGGAAGAGGAACACGGGAAGAGGGGGCCGGCTCCCCACGGTCCTCAGCAGCTCCGACCCTCCTTCCTTCTCTCCTGGGCTCCCTGCACACCTCTGGACTGCCCCCAAACCCTCACGGCACGGCTTCCGCCCGCACCCTGACCCCCAGCCAGGGCCGGCCGGGGTTCTCCGCAGCCCCCGTGCCTCAGGTCCCCCCTAGGAGGCCCAGCCCGGACGGGAGAGACAGGCGGAAGGGAGGCCGTGGGTCCAGAGCAGCAGGGCCCCAGGTCTGGGGCGGAGGCGAGCTGGGACACAGGCATGGGAGGTGGGGCCCCAGCACCCCACCCAGCCCCACCCGGGCAGGAGACACCACAACACGGTGTAAACAGAGGAGACTTCCCCGGCCCCCAGGGGGAGGCGGGCGCTGGGCCGGCAGCCAGCGGGGCAGTGGGCCAAGGCGGGTGCGAGGCCTGCCCACATGCCTGGTCGGGGCCGGCGCGGGGAGCACCTGAGAGGGAAGGCGGGCGCAGGCCAGACCCCAAGCTGGGCCGGCCCTCCTCCCCACCCAGCAGGGCCTCCCCACACGTGTCTCTCCCCCAGCCCTCCCCGGCGCCCCGCGGCTCCCAGGCCCTACGCCGCCCTGGGTACTCACATAGGCCCCAGCCAGGCTGCGGAGCTGGTGTTCCAGGTATCGGGTGAGGTCATAGGTTTTCTGGATGGAGGGGCCAGGCCCGGGGTCCCCCGTGCGGTTGAGGGCTGGCACCGCAGGGAGGTGCCAGAGCACGGCGCACAGGCACGCTAGCACCCCCCACGAGTCCCCTGTGGGTGGGAGGCAAGAGCGTGAGGGCCTGCCCGTCTGAGGAAGCAGCGGCTGCCCGTCGGGGCTCTCAGGTGTCTGTCCCCGCGTCGGGGTGCACCCGTGGGAGGCGGGGCGGGGGCTCGGCACGGGCGCGGCCCGCTGGAGCACCTGTGTGCGCATCAGCTATGGGGTGCGGTTTGTGTGTGGGGTGGGGGACGGGGCCAGGCCTGGGGCCCGCGAGCCCACACCCCACAGCTCCAGCGGGACCTCAGCCTCCTCTCCCGGCCCCGGGGGGGAGGGGCAGCAGCCTGGGGGGTGAGAGGAGAGCCACGGCCTCCAGTGGGAAGAAGCACAGTGGAGGGGCAGCCCCGAGGGAGGGGTGGGTCTCCCCCGGTGTGGACACAGGGTCCCAGTCTGCCCCCTAACCGAAGGTGCTGGATGCGCTTGAGCAGAGAGAGCCTTGCAGTTAACTTGCGGGGCGGGCTGATGTGTGGAACTGGTCGGCCCATGGCCATCCCACAATGCCCGGGGCCAACGCTCAGTGCTGAGGTTGGACTCAGGCCCCTGGGAAGTCCCCACATTAGGTGAGGCCCAAGGTCAAGAGCACTAGGCCAGGAGTCAGGGGACACTGAGGCCGGGCCGCATCGGTTCGGGCTCAGGCAGGGGAGGACCTGTCGTCAGTGAGCTAAAGACTGTTACTCGAAAGCTCCGGGGCTTGGCCGGCTGACTGCGGCCGGGGGCTGCGGTCAGGAGTGGGCAGGCGGGGCTTGGCTGGGGCCCTGGCCGGCGAGCCGCGGACGGAGCTGTCAGGCGCGTGACGCATGGCCAGGCTGGAGGTGAGCTGGTGGGTGTGGGAGGGCGAGTGGTTTGTATTTTATACTATCACATGTTCTGCAGAGACATCCTGCTTTGATCGTTAGAAACAAGTTGGTCAGGCCCTCCCTGGTGGCGCAAGGGGTTAAGTCTCAGCACTGTGAAGCTCTCCGCAGCCACAGCACGGCAGCCTGAGTTCGATCCCCGGCCAGGGAGGGACCCACAGGGCGCGGCAGACCCCTCCTGTCTCCCCGCTGCTCCCCTCAGCCGTGTGTTTCACTTGATCCGCCCGTTCTGCTCCCCACTCTGTCTCTGGTGAACCCTCTCGACCTCCTTCCTGCACTTCTGGCCTGTACCCCAGTTTTGTATGCATAAATAAGTCTTAGGGAAAAAAAAAAGAAAGAGAGAAGCCAGCATAGGCCACCGAGTGCCGCTTGGGGGTCGGTGTGGAGCGGTGAGGCCAGGGCAGGCGTGGTGCCATCGCGCCCTGGGTCCCGGCTCAGGAGCCTTCAGGTGAGGAAGCGCTGAGGGCTAACTTGTGAACCATCCCTGACCCCTGACCCCTGACCAGGAGCAGGGGTCAGGTGGGGCTTACACAGGGCCGGACTGGTCAGTTTCGACTCGGGAGCCGGCCCACGGGGGTCCTGGGCTCAGCCTCCTTGGGGGACGGCTCCGGCTTGAGCGCGTGGGCTCAGGGAGAGCAGGGCGGGGCACGCCAGCGTCTCTGGGGCGGGCACCCCCTCCCCACCAGCCCCTGCGGCCCCCGCCTGCCTCCCCTCGCCTCCCTCTGTCCACCCCAGGCTCTCACTGGCGCTCAGCTCCTTCCTTGTTCTTCACTTTCCCAAGGCAACTCCAGGCCCTTCTCTGTGGCCGCCTGGGCCACCCTCAGCCTGGACATCTGACCGAGTCACCGCCCGGGCCCTGCGGGCACAACGCGGGAGCAGTTCGGGAGGCCGGAGGCCTGCCAAGGGGCGGCAGCCCGCCCAGCCTTGGGGCGGCTTTCAGAACGGAGCCGCAGCCCGGCCTGGCTCGCACAAGGCCCAGGGTCCCGGCCGCAGGGCCGACTGGGAGCTGGGCTGGCCGCTTCCCCCACCCCTGCTTCCCGGGAGCTGGGACTGGGCTCTGCCTGCCTGTGCGTGGCAGGGTGGGGGCGGGGCGGGGCGAGCTTTCCCTGGCCTCTGGGCCCTCTGGGGTCTCCCTGGGGAGGACTGGCTCCCTGCACGGGACTGCAGGGGGAGAAGCCTTTGGATAAACAAGAGCTAAGTCATCTGGGCAGAAAAACGGCTCGTGAAATTAACCAGACCAGGCCGGTGTTCTCAGGAATATTTCAGTTCTGAGGTAACTGTGTCACTGCAGGCTGGGGGAGGGGGGCGGGGGGGAGAGCAGAAGCGCCCACTGACCCACTCATGGAGAGAAGCAGAGAGAGGAAGGAGTCAGACAGCCAGCGGGCGCAGAGGCGTGGAGAGAGGAAGGGCAGGCCGGGCCCAGGCACAGGCCTCTGCTCGGAGAGCCGCCACCCTGGGCAAGAGGGCCCGCTGGCAGAGTGGAAGTGGGGGAGGACACCTGTGGTCAGCGGGGAGCCCCGGCCGCTCCCAGGGAGGGGCTCGCAGTGGGCATCTGAGCCCACACAGCCTCCGGCCCCCTCGCAGGCCCTGGAGTGCAGGTGGACCGGCCCCTGGGGGCTGCGGCCTGCTCCCCTCCCTGCCGGCCCCCAGCCCGGCCCCCCGCCCAGCTCTGCCTCTGGCTGCTGCCCACTGATTGTTTACATCCCGTCTTCCCCTGTGTTTATAAATCCGCTGAGCACGAGGAGCTAATGAGCGCAGCTCACGTTTCCTGCTGCGCCCCACCCCATCCTGGCCCCCGCCCCGCCAGCCCCTAATTCCATCCAGATCCCTGGGCCCTGGGAACCGAGGCCCCTCAGGAACACCCGCGTGTGTGCGAGCACACACAGCCTCCGCCCACGCAGGCCCAGGGCCGCCCTGACCCACTGCACAGGCAGGCACACCCGTGTCCCTGTGGCTTCAGCCAGCTGCCCCTCATGGCCGGCCTGTGCCCCCAGCTGAGCTCACTCGGCGAGGGGGTGCCAGGGTGCAGCTGAGCCGGGCAGGGTGGGTCATCCGAGGCAGCAGGGAGATGCTGCCCTGGGACAGGGCTGGGAGCTCTCCGCTGGGTTGGGGAGCGGGTGGCTGCTGATGCCAGAGGGCAGGGCCCTGCCTGCAGGCCACACCAGCACCCACGTGGTGACCTCAGAGGAGCGTGTCGAGGGGCCTGGGGGAATGGAAGTGGTGTGGGGCGCTGCGTCGAGTGTGGGGTGAGGTCCGGGCATCGAGCCGCTAGGAAGCCCTCCCCGGGGTTGGTCCCAAGCTGCCTTTCCAGGGAAGGCCCACGACAGCCCTCTCCCCTGGCCCTCCCCGCCTTGGCTTCCTGTGCCCCTGGCTGGGGCAAGTGGCTTAATGATGGGCCCACCTGGGCCCAGAAGTGAGGCGCCGGCTGTGACGCAGCCCCTCAGGTGACTGGGCTGGGGCGGCTGCTCTGCACCAGTCTCTGCTGGAGCTGTGGGGTCCCCTCTGCTGGCTTCTCCCTACCCTTCTTTTCCAACCTCAATGACAGGAGAAACTGAGGCTCAGGGCATGCACGGAGCCGGCCACCTGCCTCCGGAAGCCAGCAGTGACACAGAGCCGGTCTTCTGGAGAGGGTTCTGGGTGGGGCGGCAGGCGAGAGGACGGGTGTGCTCCGGCCAGTGTGACGGGCAGGCGCGGCAGCCAGCCAAAAGCCAGAGGCCAGAGGCCAGGGCCCTCGTGGAGGAAACAGTGGCCAGGCCAGCGTGTGGGTGAGTCCCAGAGGGTGTGGAGCCGGGGGTGTGGGAGGGGCTGCGGTGCAGGGGTGTGAACAGGCAGGTGGGATTGTGGGGAGGAATGTGAAGTGTCACTAGCAGAGAGGCTGGTGTGGAGGGGCGCGCGGCGGCGGGAGCAGGCAGGCGCGGCGGGCGCGAGGAGCCATTACCGGCCGGAGGAGGGGGCTGCCTGCGGGCCTGACAGTTGCTGCCACCTCCGCCCGCGCGGGCTGAGAGCGCGGCTCAGGGCCGCCAGCGAGCGCCGGGACAGG